ACTTCTCCGGCGTACTCTAGCGGCGGTACGATGACGCTCTTGAAAACCGTCAATTTGATGCGTGTATCGACGTGTCGGTTTGCGAGTATTGGGTGCAGCTTCCCTGCTCGTGCTTTGCCCTTTTCCGCTACCTTGGACATGTGTGCATTCCACGAGCAGTCTTTTGCGATACCTACTCCGAGGTATGTGTACTGGTCCACTACTGCAATCTCCTCGATCCCCCACTTCCATCTATGTTCTACTGGTTCCTCCTCTGTCCTCGTTGCATATCATGACGGCACTATTCTTAACGTTGGCAGTAATCTCCACTTATTATTAAACTTCGTCGCCGCGTCAATTTGCAGTTGCAGTCCCTCAGGGGTGTCCGACATACCGACAAAATCATCCGCAAACAGCATTCCTGAAACCGACGTTTCCGTGTCCCCTACTTTTACTCCCTTCCGGACTGCCTCTACGACTTCCAACAGATCGTTGATGAACACCTGGAACAATGTTGGGGACAGCGTGCAACCTTGTGGGACCCCCTGCTCAAAGTCGAAGAATTTCGACAGCTCTCCGTCTAGCATGACCGCACTTTTCGTACACTCTGTCATCTCCTTCAGCACTCTCCACATTTTCCCCTTGATTTCGTATTTGACAATTGTTTCCACAGCCAATTTCTCTACGGAATCGTATGCCTTTTTCACGTCCATAAAGAAGCAGTACGTCGGCTTTTCGGCCCTCTTTCTACCTTGGATGATTCTCCCTACCGTGAACGCGTGGTCGACGCACCCCCTCTTCTTTCGGAAACCTGCCTGGCCCCCGCTAATGCTATGTTCCTTCTCCAATACCCCCACTATCCTATCGTTCAGCAGCTTACAGAACACTTCTCCTACTGTCGTCACCAGAAGTTTCCAGGGTCAGTCTTGTCTCTTTTCTTGAACAAGCTCACAACGACTCCTTCCCTCCATCTACTTGACACATACTCGTTTTTCCACACCCAATTGTACAGCAGTACCATCAGCTGGATCATCCCCTTCCCCCCAAACTTCATGAACTCGTTCCCTATCCCATTCGCTCCTCCTGCTGCTTTGTGGCACTGCAGCTTGTTCACACACGCCTTAGCCTTATCCTCAGTGAACTCCTTTTCTAGTTCAAGGTTCCCAACGTCTGCCTTCGATGTCTCTTCTTTCTGGGCCCATGTGTCCACCTCCTTCTTATACATTTGGTCAAAAGCTTCATTCTCCGAGGGCACTTCAAGTCTCTCGTAGTGCCCTGCTAGAACTTCCCCTTTCCCTTCCCACTGCTGACTAGTCCACGGTTCACACCTCGCAAAGTTGCTACCCCTGTATACCCCCCTTGCGCGGTCTTTTTTATCATTCCACTAATCCCTTCCCACATCTGCTTGACGTTCCCCTCCAGGCCTCGTTGGCCTTCTGCACTTCTTCGTCCCAAATGCACTTTTTCTTCTTTTTCACTAGTCTGGTCCATTCACCTGTTTTCTCTTGGCCCTGTACTTTTCCCAACAATCCTCAGACCCCTCACTCGGGTACTGCTTGAAGACTTCTCTACGTTCCCCTGTTCCTTGCTTCAGCTCGTCATCCCACCACTTAACCGATACCCCACATCGTACCACCTTCCTTCCCACTACTCTCTCTGCCGTTGCGTTCACGATGGACTCCCACCCTTCAATCACCCTGTCCCCTGCTGTCTGTACGTCTACCTGTTCGTCTTCGACGCTTCTCAGCAGTTTCCTGAAAGATTCTACACTACCAGCCAGTCCCTTCTGGAATTCATCCCGTGTCCCCTCGTCTCCCAAACGCTCTACTTTCCACCGGAACACTTTCCTCTGTTTCTTACTCTCCATATTTCTAGATCGGTCGATGTTTGCCCATAGTGAGGAAGTGGTTGATCGAACCTATATCTATCGCACTTACGTGGAGCTCTGGGATCTGTGTGCTCCCCTATCTACCAGGATGTAGTCGAGGATCGAGCATTCATTGCAAAGTGCCCGTTACCTGGTGAACTCCGGCTTATCGCATTCGGTCCTACCGTTTAACACCATCAGCTCGTTGCTTCCCAAGAATTCAAGCATCCTCACTCCGTTGTCATTCACTTTGTCTTCTCCGTGCTGCCCGATCGCCTGTCCTCTACTGGAAGCTTTCCCTACTCTGGAGTTGAAATCGCCCACCATGACAACTTCTCCCTTCCTACTGAACCTCTGGACATCTTCCCCAATTTGTCCAAAGTTCTCCTGCGCCTTGCTTGCGACTTTCTTCGACGACGGTGGGACGTATACGTTCCCTAGAAACAAATCTTTCTCACCACGCTCCGCAGATATCTTAAGCCACAGGCTTTCCTCGAACTCCGTTTCCACCACTACTTCCACCCCATCAAACAAGTGTTCCTTGACCAGGAATCCGACTCCCCCCTCCCCCCTGTTCTTCGGGTCTAAGCCATTTCTTGCCTTCCCTACCCACCGGTATTTCCTTCCTTGTTTGCTTATCACGTCCCCATCCTTCATTTCTCACGTCTCTTGGATCCGCACTACATCTAGTTCTACTTGGTCCACTGTTTCCAACCGCTTACGCTCACTCCTTGCGAACCCGCACACGTTCCACGACCAGACTGTCAGCTTCTGCTTTTCCCTACTGGAGATTTGGCGCACTCTATCGTTCGCCTTCCGCTTCTTCTCGGCGTTCTTCTGACTTGCCAGCTCGCCTCCCCCGCTCGGTCCCTTCTTCATCTCCATCGCCCTCGCCTCTTGTCTCCTTACCTTCCCTGTTTCTATCATGTTCGCGATGCAAACCCTCCATCCAAACTTCCTCACGTAGATCGACAGCTTCTCAACGTCAACCCCCAAGCACTCCTGGCTGTCTCCCTTGGTCAATTTCACCCGGANAGCTCGCCTCCCCCGCTCGGTCCCTTCTTCATCTCCATCGCCCTCGCCTCTTGTCTCCTTACCTTCCCTGTTTCTATCATGTNCTGTCTCTCTTACGCAGTTTCTGCTTCCATCCTCCCGGCTTCTTCACCATCCTCATGATATCTGCGGCAACTGGACCGTGGCCACTTGTTTTTCGTGTTTTTTCAGGAAGGTATACGGAA